AATGCTCTTAGCACAATATCTAATTATCATATGAGCAGCAGGGAGAAAGCTTCTGTAGGGAACTGTGTCCAGGGTCTCTCTAGAGATAAGTCAGGCATCTGGATCTTGAGACAGTCTCCAAATGAGATCAGTAGGGAACAGGGCACTTTCCATCAATGGGAGGGGGGAATATTGCCAAGGTCAGAGAGAGCTGCCAAGCCATGGTAGACTGAAACCTCCAACCAGCAGTGCCTCCCAGCACTTTCTGGGTCTTCCCCCTCCTGTTATTATACTCTTCATTCACAGAGGTGGGCAGTACAGACATTGTAATCCATAAGCATCTTTCCATGCTCTGAAGTCATTAATGAGTCCTACTTGAGTAGGTACGATAGTCCTCCCATTTTCTCCTGTGTGTATTGCATATTCTACTTGAATTATAACCATCTGCACAGAGACCAAGCCTTGTGATTTTCCTGAAACTCTTATAACATGCATCCAACATATGTAATTACTATAATGGATCTATAGAAAGGAGACTGGATTGGTAATGTAGAAACTTGTCTTTTGTTCTGGCTCTGTTACTAGCCATCCAAGTCATTTGAGAAAGGTTATTTACTTTCAAATTCAACCTGCCTCCTCCTCAAAAATGATATTTGAGCAATGCTTACAAGACAGGTTCTGGGATATTCCAAAGCTGCAACTATATTTTAGTGATTAAATATGTGGAGAGACACAGAATTACAGAGAAAGATTCATCCCAAACACAGGTTGCTTAACATGCAAGTGCTCTGAGAACATGAATGTAAAATATGAGTGGCAAGCAAGCTGTATCATTGGCAGGGAACTGAGCCACATCATCGAGGTTCTCTAAAGCTTGAAAAAGTAAATGAACTAAAGCAACTTGCTTCTCATTAAGTCAGTGCTGCTGACTCATTAGTCAGTGACCTAGTGAACTTTAGTCAAAGTTTTATTATGTTTCTCTATTGATGGGAGTTGTTCTTCTATATATATATGTTTTTCTTATTGGTTAATGAATAAAAACACTGTTTGACCAATGAAGCAGGAAGACAGGTGTGACTAGGAGACAAGGAGAATTCTGGTAAAGGTAGGCAGAGGGAACCTGCCACAGAGTCTCCATGCTGCCGAAGGAGTAACAACATGCCTGGGCATTACCGGGTAAGCCACAGCAATGCATAGATTGATAGAAATGGGTTAATAATTAAGGCAGAGATAGCCAATAAGAAGCCCTAGTTGTCGTCCAATAGTTTAATAACTAATATAGTGTCTATATGTTTATTTGGGGATAACGGCTGTGGGACCAGGTTGGGACAGAATACATTCAGTAACACTACACCACTGTCCCTTCCTGGATTCAGACACAATGGCACTGTCTCTCATCACTGAGACCCAAGTCAGAGATCCAGAGGAGGCAGAGTGTGATCTCTAGGTCCCCCAGCGTTAGCTTGGCTTAGAGAATCCCATCTAAGCACTACTGTCTTCCTTTCCCTTTTGAGTATTGCTAAAGAGTATACTCGTGTCACTGATGTGAATACAAAAATATGATTATGGGACAAGGAGAGGGTGCCACAGGTAATGCTGCCAAACCTTGTGACTTGAGTTGGATTGCTGAAATCTGTATGCTGCAAGCTGAGAATTGACTCTTGCATGTTCTCCTCTGACTGCCACATGTGTGCTGTGGCACACAGACACACATACAAGAAGTAAATAAACAAATATAATAGTCATCTTAAAAAATGCCAGCTGGTTCTACCCTGAGGTTGTTGAAACTGAGCATCCTCTCTGCCTCTCAATGAGAACCTCAGCGGCTGTCAGCTGTGAGCCTTGACCATAGAGCCTTGACCAGAAGAGATTAAGTGATAGATGGATAGACTTCCTTCCTCCCTTTGGTTTTCCCTGTGAAAGTCTGTAACCATAGTGGGGGATGATTCAAGCCTACTTGGAAAGCCTACTTCCTTTCAGAGAGTGCCCACATCTCCAATCATCTTGCATGGATTGACTTTCTGCTTTGCCTCCACCAGTCACAGTCATACTCAGGTCTTTACCAGGAATGTGGGATTTTCACACTCTACGGTTTGTTTGCCTTAGCTTTTGAAAATGCAACAGAATTTGTTCATGGAGTAAGTTTTCCTTTCTATAAAAATTAGGGCACATGACATATGCTACTTAATAGTTTTCCTTTAGTGCTGTGTTATACCATGAATATATCTTTCAAACAACAAACACCAAGCTTACCATCAATACCCTTGGCTTCCTTTCCTTCCATCTTATCACTTTATTAATGGATTTGACAAATGTGGATGCTGCCTTTGGCTCTTTTGTCCTCTCCTATCCTGTTACTAACACACAGTCTGCTTGCCAGTCCTCTTACAGGATTACATAGGCTTTGGGAGGGATGGCTTCAGGAATTATAGGAAATATACATAGTTTTATTCCCACAAGAGTACAGGTTCTCAATTCTTTCCAGAGATATAGAGAAAAAGCTTGAATGTTTCTTAAAGGCTACTCTTTACTCATCCATAGTGACTAAATCTGGAGAAGTTGGCTTTTAAGCTGTCCTCACTTACTAAATATTATTTAGTTTTTCTCCTCTTTGACTTAGGTTGGCAAATGGGAAGGGGTCTTTTCTCCTTTTTTTAAACTGAAAAAAAATTGTATACCATATATTTTGATCATGCTTTTCCCTCTACCAGTTCTTCCCATATCCTCCTACTCACCCAACTTCATGTTCTCTCTCTTTAAAACCAAAACCAAAACCAAAGAACACCCTCCACACATACATAAAACCCACAAAACAGAAATCAAAACAAGTAAGTCAAAGACAAGTAAGACTAAAAAAAAAAAAGCTCAAACAAAGTAAAATTAGACAAAAGGTCTATAAAACTACCACTGAGTTTCTTTTGTGTTGTTCAACTGCTCCTAGGCATGGGGTCTGCCTTGAAGTGGTTAATGTACCCATGGAAACTCCATTGGAGAAACTGTTTTTCCCTTTGCCAGCAGGTATCAATTGCAGATACCTTCTTGGTTAGACGTAGGATTCTATGTCCATTTTCCCTTCTCAGCCCTGGGACTGGAAGCGGTCTTTTCTAAGTACACCTTCAGGATTTGGTCCATTTTTGTCATTAAAACTGTCTCTTCTGCTCACCTCCCCATCCAGACCTCCATGGCATCACGGCATGGTTCTACAGTTTCGGCTATGTGTTTTTTGGGACCAGCCTGAGGAGGGTGTGCTCACAGGCTTTGATAAGATCCAGCTCTTAGGATCTCCCCTTGCTGGAGTCTCTGCAGCACTGGATGTTAGTGTTGCTATTGCTTAATGTTCCCCTCAGTATCATCTCTCCTCCACACTTCCCATGTGTACATCTTTCAGGGTTTTTATTTTAAAGTTATGACCAGTGGTAGCCATTTTATAGATTCTTAAACATGAACCCCATCTACCCAACAAGTGGAAGAGTGACATTATGCCCTTGAAAGATGTTTTATTTGAGTTGAATATAATACTGCTAAAATATATGCCATCCCCAGGGACTCACTGTGCTGTGAAGTTTTTTCCCTATACATATGTAGCTTCCACCCTCAATTCCCAGACCAGCAGTCCAAGTTTTGAGCAACACAACTTCCAGAGTAATGCAGATGCAAAGGCTAGGTAATTTACATATAATCTCTCCTTTTGGGATTTCCTGTTAGGAGGGTGAATGTATTACATGGAACCAATGGCTTTCAATCCAGATATGCTTGCTAAAGCAGCTTTTTTGTTATACACTTGTTAGTGTTTTCTCCACACATGCTATCTCATATCTACACAGCATCCAGTGGGAAAGGTAGGGAGGCTATTTTCATGCCCATTTAATAGGGGAGGATATGGTAAACCTTATGGATTACTTGAAATCACAGAGATGGTGGTCAAGGTGGAACCAAGTGCCACGTGTCAGGTCTGTTCTGTTCTTTTAGCAAGATGCTCAATGAGGTTCTAATGGCAAGCTGTTTCTCTACATCATTTGCCTCTAAAGTATGGTTGTATTTCTAATCTGGCACAATTGTCACAAGAGGCCTGGAAGAAACTAGGTCAGGTGTCTTAGAGTCACTCTTTCCAGCACACAGGGTTAAAAGAACACAGAGACATAATTGTCAATTATAGCTACATATGAATCAGTAGACAGGGTGAGACTGGACTAGGTACACAGACCTCCCAGGTAGGACTATGGCACCTTTCTGCCTACACATCATGTACCATGGACATTAGTCTCTTGGTTGCTAATAGTTTTAACTGGAAAGCATGAGTGTTGGCAGCTTCAGGGTGGTCTTAAAGGAAAACACTGACAGCTGTACCCACTGTCTGGAAGTGACAGGCAGGTGTGCAAGTGGCATGGGCCATGAAAGGCACAGGGGTGCGGTGGGATGGGCACAGAGCCAAGATGAGAACCAGGCCTTGGGGTTCCCAGGCCTTTTCCTCCCTGAAACCACTAACAGGAGAAGTGGACAGTTTGCTCAGGAAGAAGAGATTAAGTGAATGTCAGATCAGGGCTTGGCTGAGACAAATACAACAGTCACTTTCACATTCATCCAGTGAAGGAGGGTGTGTCCACCTTTTCCTACTTCTATTCAGCAAGTATGCTGCATCGACTTGGCCACTATTAGCTTCTAAAAATGACCCACTGTCTCAACTTGACCAATGCTCTGTGTTGAAGAAAAAGAGGAATATTTTTGGCATCTTAAGATGTAAACAGAGACATTTACATTGTGGTCATTCCTGAGGAAAGTATAACAGATGACTAGATTTCTTGCTGCTGTGACAGGTGGTCCTAGATTTGCAAAGAAGGTACTTTCTCACATACACACATGAAAATCAATGTCAGTTCCTTGGGGCAGAACCAGGACCTGGCACAGTGTCCTGCCTCCTTAGAAAATGCCAAGCTTTGTTCAAGGGCTCTTATTTTATTGAATATAATATATAATGTGTATTTTATATATTTATCTCATTCTGATCTGCTCTTTTTTTTCAGAGCTAAAAGAAGAATGTGCTCCACATGGAAGTCAAATTTGAAGCCAACAAACTTGTACTATATTACCAGTAAATGGAAAACATAGTGAGGAACACAGGTGAGAGAAGAGTCTTCTGTCTTCATGGAGTCATGACTACACCTGGAAATTTAGCTAATGTCTTGGGACCAAGAATATTGATGTGTGGTGTCAGTGACGGAGAGAAAGACTGACTATGATGGCCCAGAAAAGGGCGTGAGATTATCTTGGAAGGACCAAGGGTATCTCTCTCTTCTCTCTCTCTCTCTCTCTCTCTCTCTCTCTCTCTCTCTCTCTCTCTCTCTCTCTGTGTGTGTGTGTGTGTGTAAGCATGAGTTGGAGTTTGGCTGCCATTTTACTGGGGTAAAAGGGGAATTTCTGGGGAGGTTCTGTCAAGGGCAAGAAGAAAGGTAGAGGAGGAATAGCAGAAGAGGTGACTTTACTCATTTTCCTGCACACTAATCACAAAACCACACAGAAGAAGGTGGGCGACTCAGGCCAATTTGCTTCTACTTCCAGAGGCCAAAAGAGCATAGAGGTGGTAGCAGATAAGCTTCCTCCTTCCCTCCCTCTCTCCTTCCTTCCTTCCCTCCTTCACTTCCTCCCTTCATTTCTTTCCCTTCCTTCCTTCATTTCTTTCTTTGCTTTGTCTCAAATCTTCATTTTGAAATTTGTAGAAAGCAATTCAGTACTCCATAGGCTAGTGTTAAATGTCTGTAGTGCAATTCCATATTCTTAACTGAAGTTATTGCATTAGTTATCCCCAAACTACTAGAGAAAGGTGGCTGGAGAGGGGATCCTGATGGTTATTTGAGTTGCACATTATGAAATCTGAACTATGTCATTGTTCATAATGGATCTGGCTAATGTTAAAGAACTTCATGAAGTTTATAGAAGAGGAGTGTGGATAGAATAAGATGGTGACATAAATGTATTCTTGTTCTCTTATAACAGCAAAAACTCAACAGAATAAACCTACAGAGACAATTTTTGTGTTCAGTTAACCTGTTGTTCCTAAATCACTTTGCATTTATGAGCTGAAATCCTCAGTGCCATCCTCAAGATCCCATCTACTAAGATTAAGGATGTTGTTCACTGTATGGATTTACCAGAGAGTGAGAGGAAGCTCAGTATTTCTTTAATGTCTTGGATAACTAATGGTGTAAAAATAAAATCAATTAATAAAAAAAGAGGTCATGAAGTTGAAAGAGAGAAGTAGGGGTGGTGTGTGGGTGACTTGGAGGGAGGCAAGGGAAGGGAAATGATGTAATTATATTATAATTTGGAAAAATAATTTTTTAAAAAGTAAATAAAACACAGGCCAGGGCATTTAGACAAAAGTAATTCACTCACACGAAGGACATCTTGTCCTTTCATTGTCCATTGTTTTCACCTGCAGGACACCAAGTTTTGGCAGAGGAACCAAACTCCAGGAGTTGACATGGTCCAAGATACTTGCAGTATTTTTAGTTCATGTGTGTCATATGTCTCTTTGTTTGTTTGTTTTGCTTTTTGTTGTTGTCTTTGTTTTTTTAATTATTTTTTTTATTTAGGTTAGAAACAATCTTGTTTCACATGTCAATCCCAGCTCCCTCTCCCTCCCCTCCTCCTCCATCATCCCCACCAGGTTCCCCAGTCCTCTACCCAATCTCCACTCCGATCCACAGGGAGGGTGAGGCCCTCCATGGTGGATCTCCAGTAACTGTCATTTCATCCAGGGTCGGGCCTAACCCTCCCCCAAGAGTCCCAGCTGAGAGAGCCTCCCATATTGTGGCATGGGCACTCAAAGTCTATTAGTACACCAGGGTTAAATTCTATCCAAGGCCCCATAGATTACCTAGGCCTCCTCACTGACACCCACATTCACGGGGTCTGGGTCAGTCCCATGCTTTCCACACAGCCATCAATCTGGAGTCAAAGAGCTCCCCCTTGTTTAGGTCAACTGTTTCTGTGGGTTAAACCAGCCCAGTCTGTGTCATATGTCTTTAGGGGAATAGAATCTCAATCCAACCGTCATAGTTTCTCTCAAGACAGATGTTTGACAGCATCAGGGTCACTAGCCTCTGCTCTTGAGGTATATTATCTTGTATCCAGTTATTAAAATGAATTGGATATATGTTAAGACACTTTGAGATAAGATTTGATTTTTGCCCTTGGCTGTGGGATATGCTTGGGTATCATGAGTACTCAGAGTTGCTGGTTTAATAGGAAACCCAGGGGAAATTGCTTAACGCCTCTGGGCCTCAGTTCTCAACCCTAAAACAGGAGAACTAGTTCCTACTATTTTCAATTGACAGGGATCCTACAAAATAAAATTAGGTGGTGGTTTTTGAACATGTTTAAAAAATTAAAGGCTCTGTAGAAATACAAGTGGTTGCTATAGTGAACTGGGTTGAAACAGACTCTTGACTAGGACCTAGTAAACTTTTGGTCTTGTCCAACTCAGCTCAGAAGCAATAAATCTCAGGAAAGCTCTTACCTTCCCAGAACCTCAGTTACCTCATTTGTAAACACAACAGTGGAATCTGTTTATTTCAGGGGAGCATTTGAAAGTCAACAGAGATGATTATAAATTGCTCCTCTCTGAAGAGCAATGAAAATGTAAGATATGGGTGTCCGATGTTTTGTGCCTGTACTCAGATGTGAGTTTGGAAAGTTAATCTCTGGAGAATAGAAGGCTTCATAGGCGATCCCTGATCCTTACCCCACCCCCTTTCTTCCTGCTTGTAATCATTCCCACCATATGTTTCTCATTAGCTTCTCCCAAACATTGTGTTTTCTCCTATGTTTCCTGCAGTCGCTGTTCACAGTCCCTTGTATGCAAAGTCTCCATACAACCCCAGGATGCTAGAGCTGAATATGGTCTTTGTGTTTACAAAACCAACTCCCTTTGATATCAGAATATAGAGGCCCATCAAGGTCAATCTGGTAGTAAAATAATAATCAGATTCCCTATTCAAGTTCAGAGGTCTTTTTTTATTTTTAATAAATACACTTTATAAACATTGTACTTTTCAATCCCATTTATTATAAGAAATCCCACCTTCCTTGGCTTCAGATAGGATTCATAATTGTTATGTGAAATGTTTGTTATGTGTAATGTTTGTCTTCCTTCTTTGTAGCCATTTCAGTGATTTCTTAGTAGGCTGTCCTCAGGAATGATTAGCGTGTCTTAGACACACTGGGGAAAAAGTTATTCTTTTCCGCTTCAGTTATTTTTCTCCTGTAGAAAACCAAACCAGAGATGAATAGGGACTGGGGGCAAATGCTATACTGACTCAATAAATCTCTGGTGAGATTATATGGCCCGGAAACATCGGTAAAAAGACAGAGCACTTGAACACCAACATTGGGACTTCTGCCACTTCATTTCCTCACGTGTGGATTTTTGTTTCTGTTTAGGACATTTGATATGCTGGATGTCATGTTTGTGATGTGTAGAACAAAATACACTTCTTAAAAACACTTTTTGATTGGTTTCCAGCACTGAGATGGTTTTTGTATGTGCATCCCAATTGCGTTCATCCCATTTCTGAGCGCCAGTCCCTTTACTAATGGCATGCAGGAACTTAGACATTCATGAAGGACTCTTCCAACTAGAATGTTTCTCTCCTGTCATTAAATATGAGAGTGTTTAAAACATTAATGTGCACCCTGCCCCACCTCAGAGGCACTCCACACAGACACCCCTGAGCAAAGGGCTATCAGTAGGACAGCGGCATAAACCAGCTGTTAAGCTGTCACAGGTTATCCTATCTTTCAGCTTCTGTTTCCTGACAACCCACATAACCACCTTTAGGAAGGACATGATAATCCGTTGTCTGGACTGTAAAACTGCTCATAAAACATTATGGGATTGTGGGATGTCTGGGTCCCTAGAAGGATGCCACTGGAATCCACGTTAAGCCCCAGTAGAAAGTAAATGATGAACTATTTGAAATTGTCATCTTTTCATCAAACAGAGCAGAGAGAGTAAAGATAAATGGAATCCTCATCAATTACAATTTTTTTCCAAAGGGAAAGTAATAAAGATAATTAAACAACATGTGGCACGTCAGTGTGAGTCCTTGTGGAGGATTTTCCATCCTTAATGAAGAAAATGGGATGGGTATAAAAGGTAGAAAAGGGAGGAAAGAAAAAGCAGAAATGGGAGAACAGGGAGCCAGGATGAGTCTGAGAGTGATGGCAAAATAAACATTGGTCTTAAAAGAAGCACACGGTTCTCTCAGGTCTAATGGCCTCTTATCTAGACGGAGATACAGAAAGGAAAGAAAGAAATAGGACCCTGAAAGAGAACAAGGAACCTACAGTTTTCACCTCATACTCTGCGTTCACGATCTTTCCTTTCTTTCTCTCACCTTCCCCTTTTTATGTGGGGGAAGGAGAGAGCTCCTAAATCTAGCATTGTTTTATGTGTGAAATCTTGATACTTACTGAGTCTACCTTTGTCAGGACCTTTCCACATCTTGGATAACTTATCTTAAACCAATAAAACAACTGTTGTACACTTGTCCTGTCTCCAGCTCCCACCCACTTGAGTCTATCCAGCATTCTGTGGACAAGTTGATTGTCCTCATCACCTATCACTCATGGTCCTTCTCTGTTTAGAAACCTGCCATGGCACCCTGTTCCAAGTATGAACTCAAACTGCTCAGCTATCTAATCTGCTTTTCCTGATGGGTCACATTTTCAGCCTTTCTTTTCCAAGCTTTCTTTACCAGTTTACAAATCTTTTTGTCTCTGTAGTCACCCTCACTTTCGTGTCCTACTAGCCATTTTATACTAGTCAGAATGCATTTTTCTAGTATACTTACCTGTCTATGAGAGTGATGTTGACCTGCTAAGTCCCTGGGCACTGTATTTGAACACTGGATTAGAAGGCGATTCACATTATGGGACCACACATAGCTAACCCTTATACTTTCTCATCAGTTATTGAAGGATTGTCAAGCTTCTTCTACTCCCTCCCTCTCTCTCCTTCCTTCTCTTCCTTCTCTCCTTCCTTCCTTCCATCTTCCCTTCCTTCCTTCCTTCCTTCCTTCCTTCCTTTCTTTTTGGTGAGTACATTGTGGCTTCATTCATAGTCTGTGATTATCAGATCAGTTGCATGGCTAGTGCCGATATTTGAGGCTTTTATTTTTTTATTTTAACACACATTTTAGAGGAGATAATAATATTGATCCTCACCTTGATTTATCACATTTTCTTAAAAACAATTGATGGCCATCCATGTTCAAGGTATTATGAAGAACATTTGGGACCAGCACTACCCTCTGGGAAGCAAACTTGTGCTTTTAAAGAGTCAATTGTTGTTTGTTCCTAAACATTTTTATGCTGGTTATAGTTATAATTTATGTAGTATATTTAAATATTATGCAAAACTGTAAGATACAAATGCAAAGAAGGTTACTGTTTCTATAAAATTAAGTTGATTACTCTGGAAAGAGTCAGTAAATGAAAGCTGATAAAAAAGAACTGATGTTGAATTGAATATGTGTGACAGCTCCAAAAGCTTATCTAAAAACTATAAAAGTCTTGATGCATTCCATATCTAGAGAGTTCAGAAAGAACATTTTTAGGTTCTTGATTACTGTAGAAAAATCCAAAAGTAGATAATGTAAATTATGCCTTCTGGAAATGGCTGAGGGAAATGATGGTTTAAAAGACCAATATTTAAAAAATGACACTGATCTCACATCAGAAGATTGGCATAGAAATGTACACTTAAAATTTATGTTAAAGAACAGTTTGCCATTTTATGCAATTTAAAATGATTTGATCACCAATGCTTATTATTAGTCATCATTTTTGATGCTACAAAAGGAATTCTGTGTACTACCATATACATAAAACATTTCTAGTGTTTTGAGCAGAAACAGCACATGTGAGGTGAAAGATATGGCAGTTCCATGACATCCACACTCTGAAAAAAACCTTCCCCATGGGCCCCAGGGTTCCTATCTTGTGTAGTTCCTTCTCTTACTGAAATAATGAATCATCAGACTATGTTAAGTGACGGTGAGCAATTTTAAAGGCTCCTTCATAAAGGCTTCCTGTTTCCTACCATCAGTGACTTATACTGGAAGAAGCCAGCCTTTGTGCTGTGAGAACACTCAATAGTCATGTTGGAAGACTCACTGCTGAGTAGTCAATTCTTGTCAACAGCCAACCCCACCTCCTTCTTATCAGCCTCATAGGTGAGTCTCCTTGGGAGTGTATCTACTGATTTCAGGCAAATCTCCAGGTTATAGTAGCACTAACCAAAGTCTAATCATGATCCCACAAGAGATACTAAGCCAGAACAGCTTAGTCAAGATGCTCTTGAATTTACAATCCATAGACACCATAGGACATATTAAATTATCATCATTACTTTAATCCATTATGCTTTGAGCAACTTTATTATACAGATTTGAGTAACCAAATATAGAATCTGGGGTGAGCACTGAGTATTCAGAACAAGAAGAATGCACACTCTATAAGAATCACAAGTGACATGTCCTTTTATGTCCTCCTGTATATGACAAATAAAAAAGAGAAAAGATGGGATGTATTATTTTAAGCAGCTTCTAGAATCACACCACAAAATGAATTTGTCCAATAGTTTGTGGTCAAGAATAATGAGCATGGTTTTATACAGTGCGGGTCTCAGAAAGATGAATGCTATCTTTCCTCATATAGAGTTCCAGTTCTTAGGTTTCCCTTAGGTGCGTAAAACCATACATGTATATGTGGATGAAAGGAGAACTGAAATCATCTAGAGGCACAAAGTGGAATAACACGAGGGGGAGCAGTGAGAAAGGGGAACAGGCTAGAGGGCTATGGGGGGAATGTATTACTATACAATACGTAATTATCCTTATCTCACATAGTGCCATGTACAATGAATATACACAGTGATACACGAAGAAAAGAACAATGTATTAAAATTGTAAAATTGATTTTTAGAAAATATCAACAAAATGAGACTTGTACAAAAAAAAGCAGAAAGTATTAAAAAGGAGTAAAGAACAGAGAATGTGCCCCTGGGAGAGGTGATTCACCCTTCTGTTCACACAGATTTTTGTTTTGTTTGTTTTATTACGGGGCCTCACTTCGAATCCCATGCTGGCCTCAAACACAGGGTCCTCTGCCTTAGCTACCTGTGTGTGGGATTACAGGCATGTGCCCCCATATCTAGCATGTGCTTTCACTTTGAGCCTGGCTTACAAATGTCGCACCTCCCTAGCAGAGTCCGAGGGTACTTTGAAGAGCCCCAAAGAACCCCATATCAAAGTGAGTCTTCGTTTTCTGATACAACTCCGTGAAGACATCCCAGCACAGAACAGCGTGCATATTCCGTCTTTCTTCCAAGGTGGCCAGAGGACGAGAGTTGGATTTCCTTAACTGCTGTTTCCCCTGGAGCCGAGCCATGTTCTTGGCGTGTACAAGAAGTATATACAAGCATATAGTTGAATGAATATGCTGCAAATAAACATGTTTCCACTCTTGCTCCATTTCCTTGCTTTTCTACCACACAGCTTCCTGCCTGCCCCCTACATACGTTTATTCTGAATAGAGAACAACAGCAGAAAAAAGAAGAGAGAAGAGCGGGGTTGTGACTCGAGATGAATGGTGCTACGTGCCTGGATAGCTTCATTTAGCTAAAATCTCCCTGCATCATTATATTGTCATCTCGGAATCTAATAATTTAGCCTTACTTGATTGAACTGACTCCAGGTCTTTCTCATAAAGGAGTCTTAGAAGTAGGTGAAGTTGGTGGCGACCTAGAAGACAGGACCTGATGAGGGTGTTTAACACATGTCCTTTTCTCTTTTAATCAGTCCTTTGAAGAAGCACTTCTCCCTGATTGCTAATATTCTCCCACTGGAGAGCCACTGTTTACTTATTTCTTTTGTAACTATGTTTGAATAGGTAACACTTAAGGCTTGATGATTATTATCAATTCTGGTGATGGTGGAAGACATGTAAGAAATAGGTGCAGTCATTGAGATGACCAAACAACAATGTAGTGACTTGGCTGAAGTTTGGTATCATCCTTAGTGATATTTTACAGTACATTCTTTTAGGACCAGAAATTACTTCAACTTACGAATATGATCCTGACGTATTTTTATCCTGATCACCCCCAGCTCTGACATCATTGCCTATGATGGAGCGGCAGCTGTATTCATGAGATACGATCATTTTCTTTCTGGGGTCCATTTTGTGGGTTTGTGAACGTGCAGAGAAGTAGCACACACACTTGTATGCACTCACATGCTGTGCGGGCAGGCACCAGCTCCTTGTTAATCCTTCAGAACCACTCGTTTTTTATTTCTAAGATAATATATCAGACACATTGAGATTTCTAGGTACACATTAAAACACGGATCTATGGAAAATAAATTAGCCAAATCCATCCAAATGATCAAATGTCCTATAAGGGTAATTTGAGAGGAAAAAAGGTCCACTGGTTTTGATGGCAGTTTAAAATATCTTTTATTTTCAATAAATAATAAGCTAGTTAAAATGTTCATTTTACTTATATCTGGTTAATGAGTTCTATATGCCATTCTCAAGTCCTCATCTTTCTCTCATTAAGCCTTCCCAATAACAATGCCAATTACAATAACAGCAATGATCACATACAACAAAGAGCAAAGATCATTGGAAAGTTTTCTTCCTCCAAAGAGGAATTTTTGAATGGCTGCACTCTGCGGCTTGAATGCATTATGGTTAATTTCAGATTCCGAGGATGATTAACTCTGACTGGTGGAATAAAAGGCCATGACCAATTATTATTCAGAAAAATCCTGCTGTTTAGCCAAAGAGCGTACAGTGCAATCCAGTCCTTGATGTTCCTGTGATAAACGCTCACATGACAAGGTTATTTGGTGTAGAGCAGCCAGAGTGGTTGCTATGGCAACCTATTCACAATGCTCATAAATCTGAGGTGCAGTTATCCTTGCTGTGTATGCAAAAAAAAAGAAAGAAAGAAAGAAAAAAGAAACCCACAAAGCCAACTCAAGCGGTTTAATTTACAGCACTGCCTGAAAAAAATAAAGAGGCGAATGAATTCTAAGATAATAGACCTCTCCATATTATATTCTTTCACAATACAGGCACTTAGGACTCAAATGCTCTCCTCGAAGCCAAAAAGACTTTTAAGATAATCATTATGGTAGAGAATATAGGTCATCATTAGCACCAGGAGTGACAAAAATCAAAGAGGTGGTTAGGAATCGGAGTTTGCCGGCATCAATTGTTTTCCCTTGGCCCAGTTAGCAATGCAAACAGCTGTTGACAGCACATCAGGACAGGTACATTTGATGGGAACAAATGGCTTTTTCAGTTACTGCTTTCCAGAAATGATGGGCTGTAAGTCTAAGGGTACAAAGGTCAAACAGACAATGATGAAACATCCCCCACAGACCTAGTGTCAGGTGCTACAGTGTTAAGATCACTCTGATATGGTCTCTTTGCCTCGATTTCAGCTCCACTCAAGCCCCATTAGAAACAAGGGCAGCCTATTAAACCAGCAGGTAGCAAGGCTTTCCTCATCTTGGCTCTAGGCTCCCTGGCCACCTGGATCTTTGACCCCCTATGGATTATTTCAACCATTATCAGTTTTCTAAATAAAAATTGAGGAAGAGTTGAACTCTTTGAAGTGGTGTTTCTTTAACACTTGGCAATATGAGAGCCACTGACTCTGCTGCTGCTACCTAGAACGGCAGGGAAATGGATGATGGTTTAGTTTGAATTAAGATTCATATTTGGCTTATGTTGTTTAATGGCACAGATGACTCAATGAGAGATTCTTGATGGGCAGATTCCTGTCTGATCACATCCCAAAGAGTGTAAAACAACAACAACACATGTGTTCGGCAGTGCTGGAAGTGTTCAGTTTTCTAATATTGGAGAAAGTGGTCATGGAAACATACCCCATTAATTATGTTCCGAAGCTTACATTCACCTGCAAGAAATAGGGCCTCTTTAAACTTCTTCAGTAAGCCAACAGTGCCTAGTCAAGAGACATTTGAGAGCTGTATTCCTCATTCATTTCAGGGTCAGCAGCTTATGTTTGTTTTTTATTAATTGTCCTATTTGCCTTTTCAAGCTTATTTAAAAGTCTTGGGATAGGCATTTTTGTATAAGATAGATTGTCCTTGTCACCTTTAAAAACTGCACTCTTAGGATTTAAAGAAATCTTCACTGCAGCCTTGATGCTAAAAGTTAACATAGCAGACAGTTGGGATGGCGGGAACTCGTAAGGGACCAAAGGCAGGCTGGGGCTTTGTAAAGATAACCTTGTGTTGGAGATGATGAGATCCTTAAAATCATAGACTCTATTTTCTACATTTTATACCATCATTGACTTGCACAGTACCTGACACGTGGAAAAGCACATGGTGTCCTTGATAAATTAGTGCATAATAATTAATAGAGAACATGCACTTCTGTGAAGGCTAGACTGTCTCCTAAAACATGTGTCTAAATGTTCTGAGAGAAGTGCTGCTGGACACACAGATCAGAGGGACAGAAAAGACAGTGATGAGAAAGGAGTTCCATTTCTCTGCAATTGTCAGATGTTCTCCTCCACCCTCAAACTGGTCATTACTTTAGAATTCCAAAAAATTGGAAAATTCTGTGTGCACAGTTGATTTGCTTTAAACTAAGGTCACATTCCGAGTGAGCACCTGACAATGGGTTATGGCATTGTTGGACTGCTGGCACTGACCCTCAACTTCATCTTGTGGTAGTACATGCTGAATGCCAGACCTGAAACCCAAGAATCATACACTTTCATCCACCACATGTATAACAATAATTCTGGGTTTTCCATGGCCAGCTCCATATGTGCATACTTTTAAAAAGAGAGTATTCATACTCTTAGAGGTAATAAGGAAACCAGTGACCTTTCTGGGTACCAGGCATAGACCTCTGGTCTTTTGTATGTAGGCCTACATATGATCTTCTTGCTTACTAGGCTCTGTCCAGAAACCCATAGCATTCTTTTCAATCTATAAATTTTGTTTTGTGGTCCAGTTGCTCATTACAAAACACACAAGAAGTAGGAACTATCATTGTCTAATGGATAGATAAGAAAATCATGACAGGGAGTAAGTTGAGCATGTGGTTTTGCCTTGTAATTCTGATTGCTCTTTCTTAGGTTCAAGAAAAGTGCTTTCTGTAATTCAGGCACTGCTGTCTGACTGAGTTCAGTTGAGGGGACATAAAAGTGGAAGGGAACCGAAGAATGCTGGGTTAGCACTGCTGCCCAACGTGCTAGTTTTCATTCTAGCATGACTTTGATGGAATCATCTTCATCAGCCTTTTTACCACATCACAACACAGCTGTCCAAGTCACTCTACAACTCAACTAGCTCAGCAAAGAGGCTCTGTTCGCAAAAAGAGGATTATTAGGGTTGGGGGCAGGCACAGTTCAGTTTCATGTTACTAAACAGAGAAGAGTCTCCTTAAAAAGTGATTAGTAAAACTTCTCGGTGTGTGTAGTGCTCTTTTTCTGCAGGTGGTATTAGGTGGCATAGGCTGCTGTGTATAAATATTCTTTTAATGTAGAACATCAACTTCATCCCTGGAATATAATCTGCTTTCAGATGGACTTAGGTTCTGTTTCTCTTTATCACCCTACTAAGACTGGCGAAAAAGTATTTCTGAAAGACAACAGTAACAGGAAAAATCTCTGACAATCTGAGACTACTTTCTGATTTCACAAAAGCAGACTATATGTAAAAATCTGATATAAATCAGGTGTCTGTTTTCTCTTGAAATTAGGACCTGGTGACACTGGTCCCAAAGTCTTGTGTGGATATGAACAACTAAGCCCTTCAGACGGTTTGCATCAGTTCTACTTGTTTTCATCACCTTCCAACAACAGGAACATTTGATTGTGACACCCCACAGCAACCAGCTCAGAAGCGAAGGGAAAGAACTCTGGACTGGAAGCTCCACTCACTTCTTCTACTGTCTTATCTTTGTCTGTCTCAGATTGCATACACAGAAAGAGGAATCTGTTACAGCTTAGATGTGAAGTACTTTTCTATAGCTCATGTGTTGAGGTTATGGTTCCCAATGCATCAGGATCAGACGTTGAATATTGTGGAGGTAGTTAGATCATAGGAGCTCGAAACTCATCCGTGGACCAATACATGGGTGGTGGAAACTTTAGGAAATTGAGCCTAGTTGGAAGAACAAGGTCACTGCAAAGTATGCCTTTGGAGGATGTATTTTGTCCCTGATGACCCCTCTTTTCTGTTTCTTGGATGTTAGAAAGTAAGCAGCTTTGCTACATCTTGCCATCCTGTCCTACCTTCCATTGGCCCAAAGGTGATGGGGCCAAGAGGTCATAAATAACTATAAGTCAATGTACATCTTTCCTCTGCAAGTAGTTTGTTGGTGATGGCAATATGACTAACATGCAGTTTTCATGCCAAGTATATGGTCACTGCGTAGAATCAAATAACCTCTAGAAACAGGATTCTGGACT